AGATAGATAGATAGATAGATAGATAGATAGATAGATAGATAGATAGATAGATAGATAGATAGATAGAGATATAATGGATGGATGATGGATAGATGGATGATGAATAGATTGATGATAGATGGATGATGAATAGACGGATAATAGATGGATGATGAATAGATTGATGATAGATGGATGATGGATAGATTGATGATAGATGGATGATGAATAGATGGATAATAGATGGATGATGAATAGATTGATGATAGATGGATGATGAATAGACGGATAATAGATGGATGATGAATAGATGGTATCTTATGGAACAACTGAAAGATGAAGTGTATTCGTTTCTTCACAGGATGCCATTGAGGACAAACTTGACCCTAAGCTGTATCCATACATCTCCCAGCGACAAGTATCTTCCAAAGCCAGCGCTCCATCAAGGTGTGTCATTTTTACAGCATAAAACACTAAAGACTGGCCCAGACCTTCTTATATTGCTTAAGTGAGAAGAAACTCTTACATACTAAGGATGTATTCACACCAGCCCTGTTTARTCTGYCTTTTTGGAATATATTCTTTGATTTAACATTGTTTTARTACAGAACACATAAAACACATTTAACCACTTGCTCAAGTACAAAATTTACTTCTATTATTTTTCTTTGTAAATGATCCATTTTTCCCATTTCCTGTCTATTTGTGATGCTTGTAGTTTTAWACTGTGTCAGTTTTTCCATTCTAAATATACCTTCCACTATTGCAGTTCATTGGTTTGTTAATGGTGCTTCAACTTTCCTCCAGTTCTTCGTTATTGCCTTCCTTGCCGCTATCAGCAATATTCTTACTACATACTGTATTTATTCAAGTCTTGAATAATTCCCCCTGAAAGTTTAYCAAATATAGTACCTTTGGCTTTAGTGAAACTTTGTATCCTAAAACAGCATCCAAGACATCACAGATCATTTCCCAAAACCCATACTGTAGGTCTAAAACTGGCTGAGTTATGGTCAATTTAGCATTTTAGCTATAGCGGCCATCTTGGATWTTTGATTTGGCTTCAATGTGTGATGAAGATTGTTCTCAGCTACCRTAAATTTCTGCYTAAAATATCTTAAAATGGCACAGTTATTGCAATTTCAAATTAGCTGTGGTGGCCATCTTGAATCTTTATTTAGCATTCAGAACTTGACAAAGTTTCTTCTTGCCTCAGCCAATCAGAAGACCAGATTGTGATGTTGTTACAGGAACACAGTTAGAATCACAAACAAATMTTTTGTTTGTACTTTTAAGTTTTTACAGTGCTTTATGTCAGAGACATGACAAGTTAGAAACGTTTTTTTCTATGATCTGAGACTGACAGATTTGACATGGAGGCAATTTTACTGTACACCTTAGACATTTACTCATAACCTCATAACCTCATAACATTTACACATAGGAACTTGGGAGTAGGCACTTATGCATGTAAGGGGCAGCATGGGACAGTCTCGCCACAGATGCCTGTGCCCACTCACGTTGTTTGCTTTTAGACATTTAGGGTAGGGTTGGAGCTGGGGTGGAGGGGAAACTGGCATAGTGCTGGCCTCTGCCCTGTCTTCTTCCCCGTTTTAATTGCATTATAGAACATCACGAATCAACAGTACATCTGAGGGTGGGGGTGTGTGTGTCGGGGTCTTTTTTTTTTTTTTTTTTTTTTTTTACTCCTCCGTTCC